CACAGCGAGAGTGTACCCACGCACAGAGACGGGCCGCTCTATCGGAGCACCACTCTACAGTTAACTATTGCCCAAGAGGTTTCTGAAAAAGTTAGGGCTCATGAAACAGTCCCATGGAGAGCAAGCCATTTGGGGAAAGAAAGGCAGAGATCAGCAGCAGCGATTTGTTGGGGGTGAGCTGTAGAGGCCCCCCACTGTTTTGTCTCTCTTATCCAGGGTTAAATTGCAAACACTCTGAACCTGGAGTTTATGGTCTTTTCACCAAGAGATTTCTCCCAGCCCAGGTCAGGGGGAAGAGAGAAGGTGCATCTCATATAAGAGAAACAGGTGGAGACTCACCTAGGAGCCCGAGGCCCACCTCCGTCAGAGTCAGTTCAGAGGCTCAGAAGCGGTTTAAAGCCCCAGCCTGGGACTACACGCCCCAGCAGCCACCCACTGAGAGGGGCCTGGGGAAACCTCCCAGGGCAAGCCCAAGCTCTCACCACTGAAGACTTGTTACTCCAGAATAAGCTGGCTTCTGCTGAGGTTTCTAAGAGTTTAAAAATGTAAACAACCAACATCCAAGCAAAAAACCTTGCACACCCCAAAATGAGGATGCATTCAAATGAACCCCCTGTCTGGGGCAACAAGAGGATGTGAAATTATCAGGTGGTTTTCCCCCAGGCTGAAGTCCTTCAAACCACTCCTTTCCTAAATTTGCTTACAGAATATACAATGGTGAGTACTTGTGAGTTTCCCAGACAAGAAAATGCCAGCAAGAGTTGGCACATGAGAATTCATGTTCTTCCCAAACACTATGATGCAGCTTTTCACATGCTTTCAGCAAAAGCTACCTTCTTTTTAAAACCCACTGGACATTTTTCATAAGGCCAAGGGTATAGCTGCTAAGGTATTCAGCTCACATCTCCCTCTCTTATGTGTACACACACACACACACACACACACACACACACACACACAGCCTGCTGGAGAAAATTCAGGGCTTTAGAAAGAGCACTGAACCCAGAGCCTGGCACTTACTTCTCTGTGACCTGGGCAAGTTGCTTACTCTCTCTGAATCTCTGCAGAACAAGAGAAATACCTTTATAAGAAAAATTCATTTTTTCTTTCACACACATGCATAAAATAACCACATTGAATCCTAAAGTGTTAGAGATGAAAAACCATTTAAGATTAGTCAGTCCAACCTCTTAATTGCAGAAACAGGGCTCAAAGAGCCAGGTGGCTCATGCCAAGGTCACAGTTGGTAAACTGTAAAGCTAGAGTTTGTACAGTCAGATATGTAGGCACTTGCCTCATGTGGCTATTTACACTTAAATTCAAATTGACTCAAAAGAAATAAAATTTAAAATTCAGCTCCTTGGTACGACTAGCCACATTTCCAGGGCTCAGTAGCCCCGTGGGGCCAGCCGCCACCGTGATGGACAGCCCTGGCACAGAGCTTTCACCACCACAGGAGCAGCTCTAAGCTAGAGGACAGAACGCAGATCTTCAGGTTCTAAACCCGGTGTTCCATCTCCTGCTTCTTCCTCCCTGGTTTCCTATATGAAACACAAGAGAACCAGCAAAACTACGGGGCCTGGCTTCCCAGACTCCTATCCTATGCCCTCTCCACATTGCAACTTAGAATTCTCATTGAGGTTGACTCACCACTTCGGAAACGATAAATGACCCATCAGTCCTGCTTTTAAGAGCCAGACAGACTCCTTTTGTTGTTAAATGAGCTGGAAAGTTTCTTTAATTTGGTGGCATGGTTTTATTTAAATGACTTGAGGACACAAAGTGTTTCATGAAGCAGGCCAACTCTTGTGTGCTCTGAGCAAATATATTCCAACTTCTTTTGAAAAAAGATTTGGCCAGTGATCCAGGGTGCTAAGCCCAGAGAGCAATCACCCCACGCCAACCAGGTTCCCCCACCACAAACAGCCTTGGGCTGCACTTGGGGAAGCTCTGGGGAGAGAAGCTGATGGAAATTTCCATACTAGGTGGCATATTCAGAACACAGGGATGGAGGCCAGGGTCTGATGGAGCCAGTGTTGACCTTGGCCAATGTCATCTAGTCCCTTCCTGCTCTTCTTCCTCTCTCAATTGAGAGGGTCAGCTGTGAGGACCAATGGCTTGCTTGAACTCTCTCTGTGCTATTGGAGGACACGTGGCTTAGTGCCCCTGAAAAGTATGACATTATAAAGCTATCTAAATGTCTAAAGCATGCCATTATCTACATCAGTGGTTTTCTACTTTTGGGGGTCACAGACTTTAAATATCTGTGGAAAGCTGTGCATTTTCTCCCCAGGATATACATATATCATGTCAGACCTCTGCTGGCTTTGCAGAAGGAAGGGGCCATGAGCCAAGAAATGCAGGCAGCCTCTGGAAGCTAGAAAAGGCAAGAAAAGATACCATTCCCCAGAGCGTCCAGAGCTAGGGAGACCTACGCTGGACTTCCGATCTCCAGAACTATAAGACAATGAATTTATGATTTGTGAGGTGATTTGTTACAGAAGCTATAGAAATGAATACTGATTTTGGTCTTTAAGGATCCACTGAAAAACAACTTCCCAAAGACTATGAGAAAAAATGGTCACTAAAAAGCCAAGCTGTTCTCCCCGAACTAAAGCAGAAGCTGCCCCAGGTTCCACAGGACACAACCTGTCAGCACAGGCGCCCTGGTGCATGCAGCTGCCATCAGAAGGCCCACCGCTCATCTGCTCAGGCACAGAGGATGCATCCCACCCAGTCTGTCTCTTAAGCTTCCCTGCTTCTTTCCAGACGAGCAGCCTGTGAAGCAGCGCCCTCTTCACAAAGGGAGAACGGCCCTGAACACTGCAGAGAAGGAGCAGTTTTAGAAACCCTGTGTCTGGGGTTGACTGAGATTTGAAGTCAAGAGATAATAACGAGGCACCATGGTGGGTCTCAACTATCCACTTCCTCTCAGGGGTGAGCCCTGCACTCTGATCTTCCTTCACAGCGGAGGATCTGGAGAGGCTGAGGGTCACAGCTCCTCCTGTTGAAACTCCCCTGGAGGAAACAGTGGAAGGAGCAGGGGAGGGAGCTGGACCCCAGCTCTTTCCCAGATTCACCTTTGAACAGACTAAACCCCACCTATTAGGGGATGGTGCAATTGGTCTCTTTTTCCTAACTACTGGGATGCAGGGGACAGGGGATGTTCATGAGGATATAGACACGAGTGTGCAGACATGTATATACATGCAAAGAGAACACACACAGATATACGTGTTCTGACTAACAGGTGATTTTCAGGCAGCGTGTGAACACATTAATGTTCCAGCACATTCTTCATAATAAGCTTCAGTGATGGTTTCATTTGCAACCCACACAGACTGAACACGAAGGCATTAAACTGATTACAGTTGTGGGAGGTGGGGCTGGGGGTGGTGGAGCTAAATCAGACCTGTCCTGTGCAAATGGAGGATGTGGTTTAAATTTGAATTCCAAGCACCAATAGAGGCTTTCATCAAAAGAATACCCTCCACTACCACCCCATCAAACCAATTCCTAAAAAATGTCTGGCCCCAACAGAGAGAAGGCCTACTCTTTCCAGTAGCACCTTTCATAGCCTTCTTACCCTACAGCTATTCTTCCCTTTTGCTGGGGACCCAAAAGCTCTCATAATCTGGAGCTGGAATAGTCTTTGATTTAAGCAATGGTATCCTACATTCAAAGCCCTCTTTCTGTTGATGCCCAGAGGGAGAGATGCCTGGTCCAGATCAGACAGAGGCCAGGCCCCCTCTCTCGACTCCTCCGCATCTCTTTCTAAGACCCTCAGAACCTTTAATTCCCCCAGAGATCCTGCAATAAGCAGGATTTAATAGACTCGCCTATCTGGTGCCCACATGGGAGCACGTGTGAGAATGTTACAGAGACCCGGAGGATCCGCCCGGGAGACCCAGCTGGCTACAACCTGACAAACGCTCTTAGCACGCACCATGCAGGGCATGACAGGACAGCCCGGGCCTGGGCCATCTTGGGTTGAACCATTCCAAACTTCTGTCCTGCAGTGCCAAATCCAGAGTGGGCCCAAGTGCCCAGGGAAAACACTCGGCCACAGGATGTTTGACAAACTTCAGGCTGACAGCTTCAGGGCTGCTTTCTCAGTTCCCACCGCTGCTCAGCTTTTGAAAAGAGGAGCGCGTCCATGTACAGCTGGGAGTGAACACTTCCCTGCGGCTCTGCCTCTTGCCCCACTATAACTGAGCCAAGTAGTAGAATAATGCTCTTGTTTAGGTAAAAAGAGAGTGGGGGTGCGTGCGAGGTTCTCTCTCAGCCGAACGGAGCCACACCAGGAAGGATAACAAAGCGGGCGTGATGCTCTCATCCCCAAAACACACAAAGAGGTCAATACACAAATGTAGACACCTGTATCTGCAGCTCAGGGGCCACAAGCACCCCTCTAGGGGCCACAAACCCAGCTAGGGAACCTCAACACCACGGCTGCCCTGCGACGATCTGGAGCAGAGGGCTCCCAGGGTGGGTCAGGGGTACTCTCCCGTCTGACTCTCCTAACCTCGAGGGAGGTACAAGGGCTATCTGGTGGCCTGTGTCACAGGGGAGGAAACTTGTGATACTACGGCTTGCGAGTCACGCAGCAGCAGCAGGTTAGAGGCAGAACCAGACCAGGCGCCATGTCTGCCAAGGCCCACCCGTGGGCTCCCCCCAATTATGCTCTGCCTTCCTCAGAAGAGGGCCTCTGTCCGTGTGAATATGATTATGGCTACCACTTGTTGCACACTTACTCTGGGTCAGGCCCTGTCCTAGGCACTTGTGCAGATCCAAACCTTACAAGTGCCTTCTAGGGAGACTACAGATGGGGAAAGTGAGACCCAGCGAGGTTAAGTGACTTACCTAAGGCCACACAGCTACAAAGGAACAGAACAGGGATTCAAAGCCCTATCCACTGGCCCCAAAGCTCTTTGGACCAAACCACCAAGAAGAGGGGCAGTTCTTCTCCCACCCCAGGGCTGCAGGATGAAGGAAGCTACCTCATGGCCACGTTGCTGCCGTCGATCACTATGGGCCGCAAAGAGCTGGCTGGCCCTCTGCACTCCTCTGCGTCTGCCTCCAGCCCATGCTGAGCAGGGTCCAGGCCCCCACAGGAGCCTCTGGGAATGAGCAGGGGCACAACACTGCCCTCTCGGGCCTCAGGGCGGCTGCCGGTCTGGATCAGCTCCTGCAGCACATCGTTGACCAGGGCAGCCTCGCCCAGCTTGCCCAGCACCCTGACCACATCCTCCCGGCCGTAGCCCAGCTTCTGGAAGAACTCCATCTTGCTTGAGTGCTCCATGCTGTGCCAGCCAGGCTCCTGGCAAGGGTCCTGCCCCGGGCTTCCTCCTGGCAGAGCCCTGCCAGCATGAGCTAAAGAGAAAAAGCATCCATCAGGTGTTTTCTGGGCAGCCTGGCAGGGAGCTGTCAAGTGACTGAAAGCAAATTATGTATGCTCCCTCCCTACCTTATCTATCAGGAAATCATGTCGAGTGGTCCCCCTGGGGATTTTCAGTCACTCAGTGTGGTCAGGGAGTCACAGATGCAATCACACTGCTTTTACTAGTGAGCCCACTGAGACCTTCACCCCACACATGCGCCCCCACAGGGACCACTGGCCAGAGGCATCAAGGACAGCTAGGCAGGCCATCCAGCCCTCTGGACACTTGTATATAAGCCCAAAAATGTTTCTGAGGCTCTCTCATGGGCTGAATTGTGTCCCCCAAATTCAGCCCTAGCCCCCATACCTCAGACTGTGACTGCCTTTGGAGATAACATCTTTAAAGAGGTGACTAAGTGAACTTGAGGTAATTAGGGTGGAGGCCTGCTTCAGTATGACTAGTGTCCTCATAAGAAAAGAAGATCTGGACACAGATGGGTATAGAGGGAAGAACGTGTGAAGACACAGGGAAAAGACTGCGTCTAGAGTCAAGCACAGAGGCCTCAGGAGAAACCAAACCTACCAATACCTTGATCTTGGACTTCAAGCCTCCAGGACTGTGAGGCAATAATAATAAAATACCATATGTGTGTGTGTGTATGTGTGTGTCATTTCATATATGTGTGTATGTATGTGTGTGTGTGTGTGTGTGTGTGTGTGTATATATACATACACATACATTAAAATAAGTACCAGGTCTGGGGCATAATGTTACTGAAGTTCTGGCCAACAAATGTAGCTCCTCAGCTTAAACAGGAGGAAAGGCCCCCTGCTGAACTCTATTCCCAGAAACACAATGCACCCACCCAAATTCAACTCTGTGCTTTCCCTGGCAAATAATTCAGACCATGCTGAATCTCAAAGTTAGAAGATCCTTCCAAATCGGATCCCTTCCACTTGGGGTGGGCTGGGGGGCAGGGGCTGCAGCCTGATAGACCATTACAAAGAGAAAATGATTAAATCAATAGGAACACTCTAGACAGACTGTGTCCCTCCCCCTTTTCTACTCACAAAGACATCTTTCAAAAAACATTTAAAATACAGAGATTATCACAAAAATACATTTGCTGTGAACATTTGAAACAATGCTACAGTACCAAGAATAAAAAGGTATCTCTTCATACACACCCTAACCCCCACTTGCCTGTCCTGCTAACTGTTTGCGCTTTTTCTGTGCATCTAGTCTCATATCTAACAGACCCACACACATACTGTTTTAGGGAGCTTGTTTTTACATAAATAGCATATGTATTGTTCAGCAACTTGCTGTTCTTCTTAAAAATGCATTTTGTAAATCTTTCCATGCCGGTTTTTCTGTCCTGCTGCCCACCAAATCCTCAACCTTTAGAATGTTGTCTGGCACAAATGAATCTCAATGCATATTTATTGAATGAATGAATCAAGTGTGTAACTACATGCCAAATGATGGAAATGTAGGTTGTTCCTTTTTTCCCCTCTCACAAATCATGAGGAACAAACACTGGTGCACATCTAGCTTTGCCCCGTCCTCCCCCCCAGGACTGCAGGTTCTGCTAGCCTGCTGCTGGAATCCTCTGAACATTCACGGCTGTCTTCTAGGTCTAACCTGGCCTCAATTCTCTTGCAGGATCTCTCCGCAATGTGTTGGATCAACAGCAATGGTCTAGCAGGTGAAGGGCATTTCTCAGACTACCTCCTGGCCGAAGAGGCCTCACCGCAGTTTCCCCTTGTCACCCCCCACTCCTGCCTGGTCCACTGACTCCTGAAACACTCTAACTGCCTCCCAAGACCTCCTAACCACCGTAGAAGAGTATCCTCACCTTCCTTACCATGTCCAATCTCTCTGCTGCTTTTGACCCAGCAGGCCACTCCCAGACTTGTTATTTTAAATCAAGAACTTTCGGACTACCTCCTTCTTGAAGCTCTCTTCTCCATTAGGTTGTACAACTTAGCCTGAGTTCTGAAGTCTTTCCAGCTCTTTCCTTGGCCTCTGCCCATTTGCTCAGTGATGGGGGCCTGTCCAGCCATCTTCTCTGCTCCTTGTGTCCTCCACTAGGCCCTGTGCCGATGGGCCCATAATGGCACTTCCTGCCCAGACCCCTTGTTAAGCACTGCACACCCAGTTACAAACCTGCGAGATGAATGTCATGCGTGCTATTTGAATGAAGTGCTATGCAATTCAGAATGCTGTCATTCAAGAGGCTACTTCAGTAGTTCTCAACGTGTGCTCCAGGGAACCTTGGAAGGGCCCCAAGACCCTTTCAGGGAGTCTTCAAGGTAAAAGTTATTTTCATAATAATGCTAAGGTATAATTTGCTTTTTTTCACTCTCATCCTCTCATGAGTATACCATGAAGTATTCCAGAAACTACATGTTGTGTGACATTGTAACAGTTTGAACGCAATAGATAAGAAAACCCAGCCGTCTTCTAAGCCAGATATTAAGAGGTTTGCAAAAATGTAAATCAGTGCCGGTCTTCTTACAAATTTTTTGGTTTGGGCAAATAGAGTTATTTTTGATAAAATTGTGCCATTCTAATTAATGTAACTGGTTATGATTTTTAAAATAAATGTGTATTTTTAGATTTTTTAGCTTTAGTTTCTACTAAGGTATCTTATCCATAGATAGATATAACCCACATAAACAAAAGCTCTTTGGGGTCCTTAAGAGTGTTTAAGAGAAAAAAGGGGTTCTGAAACCAAACAGACTCCTTCTTACAACCAGAGCTTTCCGGTAGGTATTTCTACATAGATGGTTCCATGTAGGTGACACAGACATGTGACCCAGGGACCCAGGACAGAGGCCCAGGGCCTTCCCCCCAAGTCTGGCCCATATCACCCCATTTCCTACTGCCCACCAGCCCCACCCAAGCCTTGGTCCTCACCTTCTTCACTCCACATCTGAGGAAGCACAGCAGCCTCCTAAGGGATCTCCTACCTCAATCCCATCTGGTCCGGCCTCATTTGTAGCCAACACTGTATTTCTAGAACAAGTCAGACCATGTCACCTCCCTGCTGAGAAATATCCTCTGACCTCAGGTTAACCCTAAGGAAGATACCACATTCCTGAGCAGACTGCCCAGCTGTCCTGATGCAGCACTGACCCCCTCCGCCCCTCACTGCTCGCCACCAGCCCACCGGGCCCTTTCTCCAGAGCCACACTGAATCTCTTGCTGTTCCCTAAGCATTCCCAAATGTTCTCATCACTGTACTTCTGTATATGCTTTCCTCTCTACCTGGAATGTTTTTTTTTGGTTTAGCAAACTTCAAATCTCAGCTCAAATGCCACTCAAAACAGTCATCCCTGACTCCACAAATGGAGTGGCTGGTGCACCTCATCCACCAGGCACTTTGCTCACCTTGAATTGTTAGGACACATTGAATTGTCCTTTCTTTGTTTCTCAAGAAACTGTAAACTACATTCTGACCTATTTGCCTGGGAATCTCTAGCACCTGGTATAGTGCCTAGTATATCTGATAAGTTTAATACTTTTGTATAATTAATGTCCAAAGTTAAAATTACCTCCCTTTCTCTATTCTTTTCTTGGGCTCCCATCTCAATGATTGGCAGTCCCTAGAGGCCCAAAGAAATCTTGGTCCCCTTGGCTCTTCCCTTTCTCTCACTTCTACACCCTGGACGTTTTCCATAACCACCCTGTCAGTCCTTTACAGCCACACCGCCCCCACCTGGTTCCTTCGCCCAGCCATTCATTCATTCAGGTAACACTTACTGACCTCCTCCTAGGCACCAGGCACTGTGCTGGGGCCCAGTTCCATAAAAACAAAATACAACACAGTCCAATTTCAATTTTTTCACAACCTATTCAGGAAAACAGGCAAAAAATGTAAACAACAAGCCATAAATTATGACAATAAGCCCAAAACTTTTGATTTTAAACATGTGCTCCAAACCTCAGGCGAGGAATGGCTTATCTTCCTTGAGGGGAAGAGGAAGTGCCAGAAAGGCTCTCACAGAACTGGGGGTGACGAAGGACGAGCTGGCTTCTCCCAGCCCAAGAAGGGCTGTGTCCTCTCAGCCAGAGCCTCTCGGGAGGCCGGCCCACTGCACTGCCACCCACGACCCAAGTCACATCAATCCACTGACAACAGGACTCCCATGTCCCACACCCTTCCCAGCTCTGCAGCGTGACGGACGCCCAAGCCCTGGTCTCACTGGCCACGTCCCCCCATCCAGCTCCACCTTCTATGCCTTGACCAGGGACCGGTCCTCTCCCAGGACAGCTGTTCCCGTGGGCTGGGGTCCGGCCTTGGGCTGGTCTCCAAGGAGGAGGCGGACACTCGCCAGCCCGGCAGGCCAGCCTCTCACCAGGGCTCTCTCCCTGGGCCCCTTCCCTTTGCCAGGAGCCCAGCAGCACCCCAGCCCCACCCACACTCTCAGCACACACTGGAGCACTTACTTGGGTTTGGAAGACAGAGAGAGAAGGGAAGGGAGAGAAAGTAAAGAAGGAGGAACTGAAGTGAGGGAGGTTAAGAGAAGATGGCAACAGGTGGCATGGACATGAAAGTCCATATTCATGTAGTTCTTCATCCTTCACAGAGACTCTTACTTGAACTTCCTGCTGTCCCTGGTGGGCAGACAGGGTAGATAAAAGTACTGGCTTTCCACAAGTGAAGAAACTCACCTTCTGAGTGGTACAGAGGAAAGGTTACAAAGTTAGTAAGCAGCAGACAGTGAAGATAAGTAGATGCCAAAGATAACATGTTGCTTTGAGTGGTGTTCAGAAAGGAGGCAGAAATGGAAAACCCAGAATACGACTGGGTCAGGTGACATCTCTTTGATCAGCGGTAAGGAGAGTCTGCGCGTGCTTTGTAACCTCGCCTGCTGGGATGACACTGAACATTTCTAAACTGAAAACCCTCGGGGCTTTCGCCTGGGGTCGGGGAGCAGGACGGCCGGCCGCTGGGCCCTGGGCCCTGCAGCCCTCCACAGAGCCCTCAAGTTCTAAAAGCGGTCCTCCTCTGAGGAGACTTTTGAAAGGTTATGTGTGGGACCGCAGAGCTGTTTTTACACAAAATTAACTGAAAGAATTCACCCACTTCAGAGGCTTTTCTCCCCCTTGAGACTTTAAAATCAACTTCATTTCCTTTTAAAACTTCTAAATAAGGGAGAACCCTGGGGTGGGGGGCTGTTCTCAGGAGCCTCCCCCCCAGCCCTCGGGGCCCAATCCCCCCTTTCGGATGTGATGGTCTTTGAGCTGCAGCCTCGCCAGCGGCTTCTTAGACTATTTTTAAGACCTGAAAGTACGAACGACTTCATCTGAGTGCCCTTCCTCAATCTTGACTGGAAGTCTCGAACAGCGCAGATGGTTTTAATCTTCAGAGCGGCCCCATGCGCTCTGACAAGGGGCAGCATCGCGGCTTCCCCTGGTCGGGGGGTCCTGGTGACTGTGGAGGGGTGGGCAGGCTGAATGCAAAGGAGAGGGGGCCCTAACAGGCTCTCAGGAAAGAGGGGGAGGGAGAAGGAGGGGAGGTGGGCGCTCTTCACCATGGAACAGTGGGAAACAGGTCAAATCTGTTCCTTCCAGAATCAGCCAGTCCAGGCAGAGGGCTTTTGGCTTGGTGGTCTGTAACCCCTGACTGGAAAAGCCCCTGGGGAAAAGAATAAGAGGGAAACTGAAGGAGAAAAGGAGGAGGCGTGGGAGGCTGGGATAGGTAGAGAGCCAGAAGCCCCCAAGCGCACAGGATCTCATCGCTGTAAGGTGCTTCCTTGTGTATCATCTTTGGAAATCCCAACGTCCCTGGAAGGTGGAAAGGGCTTCATTCCTCAAGCTGCAGGTGAGAAAACAGGTTTTGCTGACTTACCCAGGATCCCACAGCTAGGCAATGGGAGACACTAGACTCCCACGGGCGGCTACTCCCGCCATTCCCCAGGCCAGAGGGTGCTACCCAGGGCTGCTCCAGGCCCACAGAGCAGGGCAAGCCTGCGTGCCAGCCCCAGAATGAGGTGCATCAACATGTTGCCCACCCCCAAGTCCACTCCTGGGTCACCTCTGCCAGCTCCAGAGAAATCTACTACATTCCAGCCCCCAAAAGTCACCCACCAAGATGATCAGAAAGTCCTCCTAAACAGAGTCCATGCAGAAATTTTATGAATCTCAGATCTAGAGGCCCTGGGTGGAGTCGTCAGTCAGATTTTGGGGAAGTCGCAGAAGAGCAAAGACATCAGCCCACAAAATTTGTGTTTTGGGCCTGACCTTTTTGTTTTTAAGGAAATATAATTGTGGTAAAATATGTATAACAAAATTTACCATTCCAACTAATTTTAAGAGTGCAGTTCTATGGCATTAAGCATTCATCACCACCATCCATTTCCAGAACTTTTTCATCTTGTAAAACTGAAACACTGTCCCCACTGAACACTCACTTTCCATCCCCCGTTCCCCCAACCCTTGACAACCACCCTTCCACCTCTGTCCCTCTGAACTGGACGCAGCTCCAGTTCCCCATGTGTGTGGAATCATGCAGTATTTGTCTCGGTGACTGGCTTATTTCACATAGCATAATGTCTTCAAGGTTCATTCATGTTATAACATGTGTCAGAATTTCCTTCCTTTTGAAGGCTGAATAATATTCCATTGTGTATGCATACCACCTGCTGTTTTACCCATTCATTCATCACGGGCATTTGGGTTGCTGCCACCTTTTGGCTGGTGTGTATAATGCTGCTGTGAGCGTGGGTGGACTGGCTCGGCCTTTTGCTTTCTCCTTGAACTCATGCCCTGCCCTTCTGCCCTGTCATATGTCACCTCAGGTGTACACACAAGTGTTTACAGTTCTGATCCATATCCCAGAGCAACTCCGAAGCAAAGTTCAAAAAAAGAACAAAACCCTTTAGTATATTCTACACCCAACCTATTCCCAGGTCAGGGATTGGTACTCCTGGCGGGCATCCCCTGGCCTTAGAGAAGAGTTAGGTCAAAACCCGGGGGGAACTGTTAAGGTTTCTAATGGCTACAGGGAATCAGCCAAAATTGTCTTCACTGCCATCAGATCATGACTTATTTCTATGTCCTCAGAGGCCTTGCTCAGAGCGCATGGAGCCATCCTCCGAAAGAGATGGTGTTTGGATCTGCTGCCAAATGTTGCTGATCTGTCAGAAAACTTGACACCCCACACCACACCTGGTCTAAAGGATGCTTTCCAGAGCATGGAGACAGGCTTAACACGGGCCTCAGAGTCCGATTCCTTCTGATTTTATAACACTAAAACGCCTTCAAAGACCACAGCAGGAGTTTGTACTGACAGTACAGGGTTTGCTCTGATTAATCTTTATTCCATAAAAGCCTTCTTGAAATTAAATACAATTTTGTGAAAATGAGCAAGGATTTCACCTAAGGAAATTAAAGATGCTTACCTGATATTTTTAATAGGAGTACTTAAGCGAATTTCAGGTGTGGGACCTCACATTGCTCAGGATAGTACTCATCCAAGAACTGCCCTCCAACCTGCCTGCCCCCCACGTCCTGTGCCTCTCCTCTCACCGGACCCAACCCTTCCAGGTGGCTGTCGCCCTGGCTGAGGGCCAGGGATGCCCACTCACCAGCAGGGGTGTCGCTGGGTCCTCACGCTGCACTCCCCTCAGCCCGTCCAGCACCAGCTGCAGCCGTCACCCTGCCGCTGCCCTCCCAGCCAGCCAGGTGTCCCTGCCACCCTCCCGGGAGCACAGCGGGGCCACGCGGCAGCTGGGAGCCACTTCAGGCCAAAGCTCCACTTCCTGGACCCAGAGTCACGTTCAAAGGTAGTTTTGCTTTGGGTTTAAAAAAAAAAAAAAAAGGAGAGGAAGAAAGAAATCACATGGGGGAGGGAGACTTGAAGCCGGAGCCTGAGTCAACGAATCAAAGTTCAACAAGCATATGCAAAGCGCACTCCTGGGAGGGCAGAGGCTGGCTGAGCGGGAAGGCAGGGGGGCCCCAGGGGAGCAAGAGCAGTCCGCACCCCGGGGGGGCGGGGATCTTCAGCTCCCAGGACCCACTTATGCTCCTAGGTTGTCCTGGGGAGGGTGCCTCTCACAGCTGGATAAACAAAACCCAGCCTGCAGGAGCCAGGAGGGGCCGGCCATGGAGGGAACAGAGCCTGCTCCCTAGATAAGGGGGGACAGGGGGCACGGGTGTGGAGGAGGACCCTGTCCTTTCCATCACTGAGTCCAAAGCAAGTCACAAAGTCCTTCAGGCTGGGGAACAAGGGCACTTGGCTCTGTCAGGGATCAGACGACGTCAGGCTCTCCTTGTTGCGGCCCTGCAAGGGGTGGGCAGCTGCTCTTTCTCCCCGAGTCAGGGGCAGCCCGCCCCCGGACCCACCTGCCCACAGCATTCCGCAGCCCGGCTTGCTGCTGCCTCACAGGTGGGCCACAGACCTCCAAATCTGGGTCTGTATCCTGCACTGGGGGCTGCCCACCAGAATAAGAGGAAAGAACACAATCAAACCACATGACAGCCCACAGCCTTCCAACACACGACAGTGCCTCTGAAGTGACTTCCAAGGACACAGTGAGCCAGCTGGTCAGGCCGGGCTGGGACCCTGAGAGTCACTGCCGAGGAAATAGCAGTGGCGCCAAGTCACTGGGATTTGCTGCTCTTCTTTAGTTAGTGCTGTCTGTCTCCCACAGAAGATCCGAGGCAGTCTAGAGTGTCCAAACACAGATAGAAGGTGACAATTGAAATAAAAATTAGAAGTGCCATCAGCAATCATTAGAAGAAAAAAGATTATACTAGAACCAGGATTAAAATAGCCACTTCATTTGAGCATTAATTCTAGCTTTGAATTCTCTGGCACAGTAGATTCTCTACTAATGACTACCATTTTTTTACTTCCTCCAATATATTCAGTATTTTCCATCAAAGTGAGTTATTTCCCACAACAGCTCTAGGGCATAGGAATTATTATTCCCAGTTTTCAGATGGTGTCTCTGGGGCTGCTAAAAAGCAAGCAAACTGCCCAGGTTCACTCAGGAAGTGGTTGGGTCAGGAGTGGAGCCCAGCACCCCATGGCTCCAGAACATGCTCCTTAAACACTCACGTGTGGCCTCCCAGCTGCTGAAGCCCTCATAAAGCATGCAGGGTTTTCAAGAGAAATAAGTATTTTCCTTGTATCCAATTTTAGGAGAAATTGAAACCCTTACATTGAGTAATACATTGGACAATAGCTCACATCCTATAGATCAGGGGGGCAGGAAGGGATCTTCAAATGCCCATTTTTCACCAGAAGCCTCAGTAAAACTGGGTTGTTGCACCTCAGCTCAGGGAAGGTGTTTCTGTGGGGAAATGAGCTAACCAGGCCCAAAGGGCTTGTTCTCTGCTTGTCCAGCCCAGGAAGGCAACAGTACTTAGAGACACAGATTGACAGTGGGCTCCGCAGACAATCTCTTCCAAAAGACGGAGCCACAACTTTTTTAGTTCTAGGCTAGCAGCCCATTAAGGCAGCATTCCCTGAGGAGACTGCCAAATGCTGCCATGCTGCACAGGTCAGAAAAGATCAACCTGGGCAATGAAACTGAAGATACTTGATTTGTATATTCAGCCCCAGGTGAACAGAGCCTCCACCCAGGACAGGGGCCACAGTGGCCGGCATCACATTGCTTCACAAAGAGGACACTGGGATCTGCTCAACTATCAGACAAGTTAAGTATTTGGCAGAGGCCCCAGAATTCAGTGTCAGGAATCTTGGAGACATTATTTAGACTCAAAAAGTGGTGACTCAACTGTCTCCTGGAGGAAAGGACCACCATGTGGTAGCTTTCCATCTCTGATCTAGGGAGACCTCATCTTGATTCCGTCACAGCCAAAGTGACCAAGCTGCCATGTCCTTGAGAAGCCAAAAGAATTAAATCACTACATAGGCTACTTGTTATCAATTGAATAAGAAATAAGGTCTAACCCAGGTAACAATTTTAGTTACAATATCACTGACCCAAAATCAGACTTCCCACCAGAGACTCGAGAGAAGGCAGCAGGCTCCCACTCACAGGGATAACAGGGCCCGTGGCTCGACAGCTCTGAAAGCTACTTGAGTTTTAACAAGAGTTGGGCAGCAGGCTGGGTACACTTCCCTCTTCTGCACTACTCAGCACTGGTGCTGAGTCTGCCCACGCTGGCCCTTGCGGTGAGACGGAGTTCAGAGCTTGCAGGAAGCGGCCTGGAGGTGGTGAGATGGTGGATCCTCAGTGTGTGGGCACAGACCTCCCCAGGGAGGAAGGCACATGAGCTGCTGTGTCCGTGGTCCATGCCCTGGGGGCCCACGATGGACCCAGGTCAGGACCTTGGCCTCGGCTGCCTCCCTTCTATCTACAGCATCAGTGAGCGCCAAGAAGAGTCTTTTGTGGAGCCATCGGTTTCCTGGGAGTGTAGGTATTTGTAGTGGTGGTATCCACGTGCAGAGGTGCAGCCCTGCTAGGGGACCTGCAAAGTCACCCTCCACCTGCTTTCCAGTGACCCTTCGGCCAGCAGTGTGTGGAAGTTGCTTCTCCATCTTTTCCCCAGCATTTGGGAGGGGGAGACATTTTGCCTTTTGCAGAGATGGTGTATCATTTCTCATAGCTATTTTAACTTCCATTTCCCTGATTGCTAGTGAACAGGGGTATCTTTTCATATGCAAACATGGATATGCGATTTTCCCTTTTTCTCCCTCTACTGCCCCATTTCCTACCATTCAGTCTTTTTCCTACTGGTGGGCATTAACTGTCATATATTCTTTATACGAACCCATCATTGTGTGTTGCTTTCTGCTCCCGTCCATGTCCAGTGCTTGTCTTCTGTTTATGATGGTTGGGGGCCTGCAGGTATTCTCACTTTTATGTAGTCAAAACTATGGTTTCTCCCTATTCATTTGTGCTTTTTGAATCTTAAGAAATCTTTCCCTATTCTGACATAGTAAAGATATTTTCCTATATTTTCTCTAAAGTTGTTGTGTTTTGTTTTTTTTTATAACCAAGTCTTCAATCATAATCTGGAATTTATTTTGATGAATGGTATGAGAAAGGGTCTAAGCTTATTATCATAGGCAGCTTGATGTCACGAATTCAAAGTCAGACTGTCTTGCCACTTATTAGCTGTGCAGACTTGAGAAAATTATTTAATCTGTGTCTTATTTCTTCATATGCAAAATGGGATAATTGTATCTATCTCATAAGAGTAGTATGAGGATTAAATTAATTAATGCTTGTAATGTGCTTAGGATAATGCTTGGCGGGTATTAATTGCTCAATAAATGGCTGTTACTATTTTGAGCACAACTTTAAAGAAGAGAGGATTACTAGAATTTATGGCAAAATCTAGCAATCAAAAAACACTGAAACATTGCCAGAGGGCTACAGAGACAAGTAAAACAACCCTCTTGGTCATCAGTAGGAATGTGTGCTTTCTGGAAGCTTCAGAAGCTTCCACAATACACACAGAAGCAAGCGGGGAAGCAGTTTCATTGTTATATTGACTTAGCCAATAATCTAATTGCAGTCATTATTGGTTTAGTCCAAGAATCTAACTTGAGACAATTGTGTATTTAAAACAACTTTAGTTTATAAATAAAATCTATACATCACATCCTCTGAGTTTCACCTGATACGTTATCTCAAACAACTACGGGTTCAAGGCAATAAAACATGCTATGTGCACTTCAATTTCATTTCACAACTTTTTTAGGTCTAGGCTAGCAACCAATCAAGGCAGCATTCCCGGAGGAGACTGCCAAAGGCTGCCATGCTGTGCAGGTCAGAAAAGATCAACCTGGGAACCTAACAACAAACTGAAATGAGGTTTCTGCTCCCGAGTGAGTGGAGACATGATTGCAAACAAAGAGTTACAGTTCACTTGGTTAATGTTACACTGGAAAGGGGGTTTCTCAACCTCGGTGCTATTGAGATCTGGGGCTGGCACCATGGGGCCATCCTGGGCACTGTAGGGTGTTCAGTAGCATCTCTGGCTTCTACCCAATAGACACACAACCCACATAATATGATAGTACCCAATAGTGGCACAACTCACATAATATGACAACTAAAAATGGTCCCAGACATTGTCAAGTGTCCCCAGAGTGGCAAAATAACTTCTGATTGAGAACCACTGGATTAGAGGTTCCATTAAAGAGGAAGCGCTGGATCTGTGTGAGGAGGCAGAGGAGGCTTTGTGGAGGAAACGATGGCTTGGTTGACTTTAAAGGAAAGGTTGGCATGTTCCAGAAGAAGTCTGGGTTCTCTAGGGCATTCCAGGCGGAGGGAAGGTCTGGGCATTGACGCAAAGGCACAAGGAAGCATGACATCATCCATATGGCTGCCAATCAGGCTCCAGGTGAACTACCTCAGCTCGGGAAAATCTTTAAAAGCTTTTTTAAAGAAGCATTTTCATTTAAAAAATATAGTAAATCGAATCATTAATTAATATGTTCTTTCACACACAGGCTGTTTGTTGTTTTTTTTAGGCAAAATGATTTTCATTTCTGGGCCATCATGAAACTACCAGGTTGGAAACTCCAGCTGTGTCAGAGTGCTCAAGGATGCTGAGTGAGCCCTAGTCGAGGGACAGGCTGGCCTTCCAAAGGGTGTCTAACAATTGAAGGATCTCAGACCTTCTCAACCAATGGCAAGAGAAGTGATGATTGATCTTCCTGGGTGTTCTCAAACTTACTTTCTCCAACCTTGGCTACCGAATTCATTGCTGTCATTGAGTGTCTGATTTGCTAACCCAGGACTCAGATGCCTTTGTGTGTAGTCCTAGAGACATTCCCTAGATGGCAAGATTGTGTCCCTATAAC